CAGCCAGACTGACCAGGATCTTTTCATAGACCTTTTCTATTCTAGATCTCCTGAATGAATATGAGCGAGTCAGACTGATAAGGATTTTCTACGGACTCGTTTCATTATTTATTATTTTTTATATCTCCTGTATAAACGTTTAAAATTAAACGGACTAAGGCTCAGACCTAATAATCGATTGCAGATAAACCAATATTTAGACCGAGCAAAGTAATTTAGACTTATTCTACGAATTTGTTTCACTTTATATCTCCTGTATAAACGTTCAAATTTGGACGGACTAAGGCTCAGACTTAATAATCGATTATAGATAAACCAATATTCAGATCGAGCAAAGCAATTTAAACTTATGTCCGTTTATACTAAATTCAACAAGTGATCGAGACAAAACGAATTGATACATTATCACATTTTGCAACACTAATGTGTATCCAGCTGACATTTTCTAGTTAAACTTCCAATTATAACTACATAGTTATAATACATTTTATGCTAACTGAGACTTTGTGCCAGTAAGCACGATCATTTGTCTGTATATTTTCCTACAAATCTTTTTGTGGGAGACTGAGGTTTTTATAACCAACATTTATTTATTTATTTATTTTTTTTTCACTTTCTTTGTATATTTCACTTTTATTCTATAGACCTTTCTAAATAAAAGTTACGTTTTAAATGTAATATATTTAGGGCAGTGTTTCTCTTCTTTTCACTGTGAATTAGAGACTTTAATTTGCCTGTTTCCCTGGTATTTTTTCTATTATTTATTCACTTTGTTCTTGGCGCACCTTGTACTTTTTGTTTTCTGTGATACCTGATCCTAAGAGGGAAGTACTAGCCCCCCAAAAACATTGGGGAGGCACCATTTTAGTGCATATAACTCCAACATCCTGTGAGTGCAATCTTTAGCAGGGAATATTACATTCCCATCAACTGTATTATGGTATGTTCTATTTTTATTTTATTTTTTAGATTTATCAGCTGAATCCCACGTGTATTGTATCTTTTGGCTTGTATAATCGTAACACTATTTGGGAGATGTACTTATTTGATAAGTATATGATCTTATTTTTTTTTTTTTTTGTTGAATACAAGTCTATCTATGCATGCAGCGGCACTTCCATATCCCCCTCATCCCCCTATGGAGGTTATATATTGAATTGGCAATTAGATAATGTGAGTTATAACAGAAAAGGTTGAACTAACAGAAAAACTAAGATAAAACTAAAACCAATAGTTGCCAATGGCCAGTCGAAAGTAGGTTACCAATTCAGGTAACATAGGTTGCACTCTGCAGGGTGAGACAGTCTATGGAGGGTCCCAGGGCTACGTCCTGCATACTGGGGGCTGGAACCATCGAATCCGTAGCTGTTCTCAATGGTAGCAGCGTCACAGGAGGCAGTTTCAGTGCATGGAAAAGCTTTGCTGGGTCTTCCACAGCTAACAGCACCAGCACAGAGTCTTCGTGGGGCACCAATAAAGTCCTTGAATCTCCCCACCGGTACTTTATGCCATGCTCTCTTAAGGTCTTGGTGATCAGCAGGAAGCTTCACCGCTCCAATAGCACTGTAAATGGTAGGTCATCAAAGATTTTAATCTAGCTGTTCTTCACAGTGACTTCGGCAGGAAAGGTTTGACAGAGATGTCCCGAGTTACTACTATAGTGTCCCGAGGTGCATCAGCAGGGGCAGTGGGGATCTTCCGGGTTCTGAATGCTGATACCATTGGCGTCGTTCCACTGTCCCCGCACTCCCAGTGTTTCGGCTACCTTATTAGCAAAGTCCAACAGGGCCTCCGGACTCATGGTTTCTGGCACACCATGGAGCCTTATGTTCCTCCTACAGTGCCTAGCTTCAAGTGTTGTGACTGTTTGGGTAAGTTGCTGGACCTTTTTGGGATATGGTATCCATTTGCTTTTGGGTTTTGGCCAGCCGGCTTTCTCGTTTCCCCTCTCAGGATTCCACTTCGCCCATTCGGTGGATCAGACTGCTTATTTCCGACTGCAACCCTGCAAGGTCTGCCTTCCAGACAGCATGAAGATCTAGAAGCAGTTTCTTAATGTCCCCTTTAGTGGATGGGTATGTATCAGCATCTGAGTCTGTTCTCCGGTGTACGCTGCTGGCTGCCTGCAAAGCCACGGATCCTTCCTCTAAGTGGGCTAGTTTTCTGTGCTTGCGCCCCATCTCTCTTTAGGGGGTTCGAGGTGTAATGTGTCTTGATTTTCCTTGCTATTTTCATGGCTTAAAGGCTATTTTACAGTCTGTGGAGCCGGAGCTCTTCACAGACAAGTCTGGTTTGGAGCTCAGATGGCCAGGCCCCTCTGCAACAGGGCTCTTTTTAAGCGTGCCCATATAGAGAGATGGAATCCAGGAGATGAGCTTCAGTGCCTGAGGAGCCCTGCCACCACAATGCTATTAAGCAGGATGAGCCAGTGGGCCCGCAAGGTGAAAGCAACAGATGAGCAAGCAGCAGTGTGGCAGAGGTGGCACAGGCTGATGTGAGCAGGTAGCTAATTAGCAAGTCACCAGTGTGGAGTGGCAGCAGTAACCCCCAAGCAGTGATAAGGGTCAATAAAGAGCAGGAAAGTTGGGTATAAAATAATATAATAATGCAAGGAATGCACAGTGAGTCCAGCCATAACAAAGCCCTAATTTCAAGGTTGAAGGAAGGGTGAAGAGAATAGTGACAAGCAGTGCACAGCAGGCAGAGAAAGGAGGAGGGTTGCTAGCAGCTGCCCAGCAAGTTGTAGTGGTACCTGGTGCGGCTTCCACCACTGTGATCCTGCACCTTCTTGAGGATGGAGTGTCCAGGCATCCCCAGTCCAGTAAGTATTGATACGTCTGGTAGGCTCCCAATGTTGAGAGGGGCCGTGATTAGGCAGACGATGCGACCCATCACCCAGGACCTGACTACCGGCTGTAGCCTTCTCGATGCAGGGAGACGATCTGTTCCACGTTGGGTTGCCAAACGGAGCTCAATCCACTCCTCCAGGTGCAGCAAGATCGGCCTGATATCCGGAGCAGCACTGCAGATGGGTAAGGATTGTCTCGAGGTGGCGCGGAGCTGTTAAAAAGTGCGGCCAGCTAAGATGGCGGCGCGACCGGAAGTCCGGAAACTACAATTTTGTGCGGAACCCAGATTGCAACATCTCCTAGAATGGTACCAGCAGTCATCCAACTTTCATCATTTCTAGTCAGAGTTGCACTCCACTCTCGTCCATCCATACTCACATTGCCACTTGTCTTCCAAATCTCGCTAACTAGTTTGTCAGTGAGCGTGAGTATTACCTCTGTCCCTCTAGGTGTAGTGCCACTTATTGAAGGATTTATGTTTGTCAACCCTCCTCACCACTTGAAAAATCTTAACTGTTTGTTAGTTTGATCAGGAATTTGTTTTTCCCCACTGATTCGGGGAGGCTACCTGTAAACATCAACCTTAAACTAACAAATAGATTGCCATTTTTACATGTAAGCCTGTCATATGGAGATGCATGTCCTTGTGGCCTGTTGTTAAGAACCAGTACAGCCTGGGTAATAACTTTATCCCACCCTTTCAATGACAAGCGTGGGGATAGCTTTCAAATTTGTTATTTTAAAAGACCATTGCACCTTTCCAATCCCGAGGCTTGGAGATGATAGGTGTGACAGATAACATGGCACCCTGACTGAATACCTCCGTTGACGGATGCTCCTAGTGCTTCCCGAGGGCTCCAAGCACTCCACTTGACACCACAAGTACTGCAGACCCCCCGAACTGCCACAGCTTGGTTGGGGTCTCACCTGTAAGCATATGAACAGTGGCGTACACATGACCCATGGGGCCCCGGTGCGAAAATTGATCCGTGGGCCCCCCCCCGCGCGCGGGCCGGGCCGCAACACATGGCGGTGGGCACCTGGTCGCATGGGTTACAGGGCTGCGACCCCTGCGACCGCGGTATGTACACCAGTGCATGCAGATGCACACACACTTAAAGGACCACTACAGACACCCAGATCACTTTAGCTCAATGAAGTTGTCTGGGTGTCAGGTCCCTCTTGTTTTAACCCTGCAGCTGAAAACATAGCAGTTTCAGAGAAACTGCTATGTTTCACTGAGGGTTAATCCAGCCTCTAGTGGCTGTCTCACTGACAGCCGCTAGAGGAGCACACTGAACGTCCATAGGAAAGCATTGAGTAATGCTTTCCTATGGGCGGTTTGAATGCGTGCGCGGTCGCATTCGGAGCTGAGAGACTGAGGGATCCCCAGCGCCAAGGGAGTCCGGCGCTGGAGAAAGGTAAGTGCTGAAGACACACACACACACTTACAGACGCATACACACTAGCTAACAGACACACACATTTACTGACAGAGATACACTCAGCGACAGACATACATACACACTCACTTACAAAACATACACTCTCATTGACAAACACGCACTCACTAACAGACATCAAACAGACTCACTAACACACACACACACTCAATAAGACACACACACTAACACTCACTAGCAGACACACACACTAACACTCACTCTAAGACTCACTCTAAGACACACTCTAACACACTCACTAACACTCAAACACTCACACACACTAACACTCACTCTAACACTCACTCTAACACTCACTCTAACACACACACTAACACTCACTCTAACACTCACTCTAACACTCACACTAACACTCACACTAACACTCACTCTAACACACACACTAACACTCACTCTAACACACACACTAACACTCTAACACACACTCTAACACACACTAACACTCACTCTAACACTCACTCTAACACTCACTCTAACACTCACTCTAACACTCACTAACACTCACTAACACACACTAACACTCACTATCACTAACACTCACACTCACTAACACTCACTCTAACACTCACTAACACTCACTCTAACACACACACTAACACTCACTCTAACACACACACTAACACGTTTTTTTTTTGTTTTTTTTAAATTTAATCCCCCCAGCCTCCTTACCTTTTGGAGTGCTGGGGGGATTCCCTGGGGTCCAGTGGTGCTGCTGGGCTGGTGGCCGGTCGGGCGGGCAGGCGGGCGCGCGCGCGAGGGAGCACTCAGTGCTTCCTCTTCACCTCCCTCGCGCGCCGCATAGGGATGCCGGTGCCGGAAGATGACGTCATCTTCCGGCTCCGGTATCAGTGCGGTGCGCGAGGGAGGTGAAGAGACTCACTAACACACACACACACTCAATAAGACACACACACTAACACTCACTAGCAGACACACACACTAACACTCACTCTAAGACTCACTCTAAGACACACTCTAACACACTCACTAACACTCAAACACTCACACACACTAACACTCACTCTAACACTCACTCTAACACACACACTAACACTCACTCTAACACTCACTCTAACACTCACACTAACACTCACACTAACACTCACTCTAACACACACACTAACACTCTAACACACACTCTAACACACACTAACACTCACTCTAACACTCACTCTAACACTCACTCTAACACTCACACTAACACTCACTAACACTCACTCTAACACTCACTAACACTCACTAACACACACACTAACACTCACTATCACTAACACTCACTCTAACACTCACTAACACTAACACTCACTAACACTAACACTCACTCTAACACTCACTAACACTCACTCTAACACACACACTAACACTCACTCTAACACACACACTAACACGTTTTTTTTTTGTTTTTTTTAAATTTAATCCCCCCAGCCTCCTTACCTTTTGGAGTGCTGGGGGGATTCCCTGGGGTCCAGTGGTGCTGCTGGGCTGGTGGCCGGTCGGGCGGGCAGGCGGGCGCGCGCGCGAGGGAGCACTCAGTGCTTCCTCTTCACCTCCCTCGCGCGCCGCGTAGGGGTGCCGGTGCCGGAAGATGATGTCATCTTCCGGCTCCGGTATCAGTGCGGTGCGCGAGGGAGGTGAAGAGGAAGCACTGAGTGCTCCCTCGCGCGCCCGCCCGTCCTGCCACCCGCCCAGGAGTGTGTGTGTGACAGCAGGGCCAGCCTCGGGGGGCCCTGGGCCCCCCAGGGGAAGAGGCTGGCCCTGTGGGTACATACCGGGTCGCAGTGGCGGCCGGGCCCCTTGGTGGGCCAGGCCCGGTCGCAGCCGCGACCCCTGCGACCCTGGTATGTACGCCACTGCATATGAAATAGTTAACTTTTCTTGTTCATATGTATTTTATGCTTAGATAAGGTTTATAATCATTAGTGCTGACTGTAAGGATATGAAATGGTTAACTCTTTTTGCTTTATATGCTTTAAAATAATGTTTGAAATAATTATGCTGACTTTGGCAGATGTATTTTGTACCAAGGTCTTTCGTCTACAGGATGTATGACCTTGCTCGACCTCAGGATGTTACTGTGACCTCTTTATTCAAACGCTTATCTTTTTAATGTCAGACAAGTATGCACTACTAACTTTAAGAAAGTGATAAATCTCGCTGCTTGCGTGACAAACTGTGTATAAATGCTAGCCCTGAAAATATACTCATTGAGAACTTGTTAAGCACTATTTCGTGTCTGTGTGTCTTAATTTGCTAACAAGAACTCCCATCAATTGATGTGGTGACCGGAGGATCAATAATCGAGGGGAGTTGAGTCCAGAACAGCATTAACCCTTTCAGCTTGGTGTCAGAAGTGGGATACAGCAGGACCATTTGCGGTGAGTAGCCTTTTTGTGTCTTATTGACGCTAATTGTGTATGACCCCCTTTGGTTCAGTAAGTCTGTATCCAGTAGAAAGGAAAGGTGTAAGGACTTTAGTTATATTGAGACTGTAAATAGGTTTCTGGTTTATTATAGGGTTTTGGTAACCCAGGTTAGTATCTAAGATAGATACAGGGTATCTCAGGTAGATACAGGTTTTGAGACCATAAGAGGTCTCCAGTTTATTAAGACTATAGGTGTTCTGAGGAGCACGGTTTATAGATCTATAGGTATACCCCAAACTTCTCTTTCTCCTGGTCACCTTTGTTTGTCTTAAGTGTTCTTTGTGGGTGATTGTCTGTATTGGGGACACACTTTGGTAAGTAAGTAGTGTGTCTGCCCTGAGTCAGCAGTATGGGAAATGTAAGTTCAGGTCCTGAGTGACCAATATATATATATATATATATATATATATATATATATATATGTATATATATATTAGATACCAGTACTGTATATTAGAAAATAACTGACTCGCAGGTTGTACCTGATAGACCTACTTAAATCTTTTGCTTTATTCTTTCTGTCGCATAGAAGTATAGTTTATTACTCTGTTTTATTGCAAGTTATTTCACATGGGATCTGTGTGCCTGGTATGATTGTTACTTTAATACCATAAGCCCACTACACTTTCTATGAGAGTGGGATAGTGTAAATGTGTTACATTGTTTGCATGATGAGCTCAGTATTTTTATAACTGAGACAAAAAGTCACTTCATTAGTATTTGATAGTTAATTCCCCATATGGGATTAATTGTATAGAACACCAATCAGCACATCTTCCATACCCTGCGTGTTTGTTGCAAAGGATCCATACTGTAAATATGATTTTTGTTTGTAAATAAGAGAGCAACATTTAAATTTTCAGCGGTCCAACACATGCTTCATTTTGTGCTGAAAGCTAACCTTTTTATTGCTACAGATGCTTTAAATGATTCAGCTACTGCATATGTTTTGTGTCTTCTATGTCTCACATTATATGTGTTCTTTTAAATTGTGGTATATAGCCTGGATCAGAGATCATGGACAAAGGTTTCTACCTGTGTTACCTGTGTTACTCTTGGAGACTGACTGGTCTAAAGGTTTGCCATGCCTTAGATGGTATAGTATAAATTTTTTAAGTCTCTGAGAGTTCTGAAAGATTCGGGTGAAACCATGTCCGTGTAATCTGGTCCAGATGTTTGCAAAATTTCTATAAGATTTAAGTTGATGCAGCATCATCTCAGATTAGTTAATGGAAGTTTCATACAGATATTTGAGTTATGAGCGCGCTATATAAATGGATCCTTTATATACAATACTGTAGTAGATTAAAGTAATGGCGTTAATTAGGAAAAAAACATGTATGCATAAGAATTCCTAAAATAAATCTAATACAAACTAAAATTGGCATACCTTACAATAATATGTTCTGAGTACAGCTGTTAACTGTTTATTCTGTGTAAATGATGATTGTGATAAAGTGTGAAGTGTGCAGCTTAACTGGAAAGTAGTTTAATTTATATGTTGCTGTGTTGTTTTAAATTATATTTGAATCAGTTTGTCTCAGTCTAGTGATACTGATACAAATGCCAGTCAAATAACCTAGCAAATAACTGTTTTATTAGCTTTTGAATACTAGCGTTTTGGCCAAGAGTAGTTGGAGTTGGAGTAGTTCTATGAGCTCAGAGAGGCTCTGTGTTGTGGTCTGATATAGCTATATGGGAATGGAGATTTGGAGGTGTTAGTTTAAGACTGCTTTCATAATGTGTCTGCCCGTGTTTCCTAGGAGGGACACAGAGTGTGTAGTTGTGTGCTCATGAATGTGTTTTCTGTATTGGCATATCTGCTGGGTACCCGATACGTGTATCTACTACGTCTGAGATGTCTGTTTTGTGAGATGCCATGTAATATTACATTGGATGCTGAGTATGAGTTATATGGTTTGAAATTAATTGGTGTGTTATGTGTTTCATGTATTTTATTGTCCATTGTGTAGGAGTTTAACTAGCAGAGTGATTTGCATATCATTAACGCAAGCATTTAGTGTTTTTACAAAATGCTGTCCAGCCGGCTAGAATGAAACAATTGTATGCTATCGCTCCTGGAGCAAGAAAAGCGCTTGTTACATCCCACGTGAAAGGGGCCCCACAAACTTCTGCTGTTCAAATCGTGGATCCACGTTTCCATTTGCAAACTGATTAATCCTGAAAGTCAATCTTTTACTGATAAAAAGGATTGAATGGACAAGATGTCTCTCCCTCATAAAGGAGTTCTAATAGGGGAGTATTGTCCAGCTCAGAGTTAACTCTACTTTTAAAGTATATTGCATTGTTTGTGTCAAAGTAAGATTCATCTAGAATGCCTCATTGATTATGGGGTAATAATAAAATGGTATTTTTATTAGAGATTAGACAATTTCTGAAATTTATAAGTGAGTTAATCTTAATCTCCTAAACTACTGTATTATATTTGTATGGGTAAATTGAAAGCATTTTTCAGTTCCAGAAGAGGATTAATAAATAATATAATAATCTCACTAGGTGCGAAATTATGCAAAGAGGCTATCCAAAGTACGCACTAACGGGTTAAACTTGTTTTCTTAAGAAGTGTATAACATATAGTTTTGTGGTTAGACTTTTGATGCTCAATTTGAAATATATCCCAACCAGGGCCGGATTAACATAGGGGCTGATGGAGCTGCAGCTCCAGGCACAGGCCCATGGACAAGGCCCATTTTAAAAAAAAAATAATAATTTTTTTTTTACACACACTACTCTTAGGCTTGCCACCTGACTGGTATTTTACTGGCACAGCCGGTATTTGAGGCTGCCTGGCCGTGCCGGTATTGCAGTAATACTGGCAATACAAATGCAGATATTTTTCTCAGAATAAATGGAGATTACTCTACAATACCAGCACCAGCCAGTAGGGGTCACTGTGTGTGGAGAGAGGCAGGGATAGGAAGTTACAGCATATCCCTGCCTCTCTCTGCTACTCACTGATCTGTGGGGGAGCAGCAACACAGCAGAGTCCAGACAGCAGCTCTACAACTCAGGTAAGTGAGGGATGGGGACACATGGGGACACTGAGACACTAGGGGACACATGTGGACACTGAGACACTAGGGGACATATGGGGACACTGAGATACTAGGGGACACAGACTCTAGGGGGCACATGGGGACACAGAAACTGGGAGACCTGGAAACACTGAGACACGTGGGGACACTGGAAAACATGGAGACACTGAGACACTAGGGGACACTGAGACACTAGGGGACACTGAGACACTAGGGGACGCTGGGACACATGGGGATGCTGAGACACATGGGGATGCTGTGAGACATTGGGAGACACTGAGACATTGGGACACGGAGACACTATGTCCCCATTTCTCCCAGTGTCCCCATGTCCCCCATCCAGTGTCGCTAATGTCTCAGTGTCCCTAAGTCTCCCAGTGTCTGTGTCCCATGTCTCTCAGTGTGCCTAGTGTCCCCATGTGTCCCTATATGTCCCAGTGTACCCATGTCTATGTCCACAACTGTCCCCAAGTCTCCCAGAATCCCCATGTCTCAGTGTCCCCAAATGTTTCAGTGTCCCTATGTCTCCCAGTGTCTGTGTTCCTAGTGTCTCAGTGTGCCTAGTGTCCCCATGTCTCCCAGTGTCCCTAAATGTCCCAGTGTCCCCATGTCTATGCCCACAACTGTCCCCATGTCTCCCAGTGTCCCCAAGTGTCTGTCTTCCAGCCAGTGTCCCCATGTCTCCCAGTGTCCCCTAGTCTCCCAGTGTCTGTGTTCCCATGTCTCTGTGCCCCCTCAGGTGTCTTAGTGTCCCCAAATGTTTCAGTGTCCCCATGTCTCCCAGTGTCTGTGTCCCTAGTGTCTGTGTCCCCATTTATCCCAGTTTCCCTAAATGTCTGTGTCCCCATGTCTCTTAGTGTCCCCATGTCTCTCAGTGTCCCCATGTCTTTCAGTGTCCCCAGTATCCTGGTGACATGGGGACACACTGAGACATTGGGGCACTGGGAGAAATGGGGACACAGACACTGGGAGACTAGGGGACTGGGCGACATGGGGACACTGACACTGTGATACATAGGGACACTGAGACACTGGGTGACTTGCAAGACTGAGACACTGGGAGCAATCCATCTATACAGCAGAATCAAACTGTGAGTAGTTTGTTGGTGATTTTACAGAATTTTCTCTGATGTCACTCCTTGTGATTATACAAATGATTAAGGCTGGTATTTTTTTTCCAAGAAAGGTGGCAACCCTAACTACTCTTCACATATTCTTGCTTAAAGGAGCACTATAGGGTCAGGAACACAATCATGTATTTCTGACTCTATTATGTTAAAACCAACACCCTGGCCCCCTCTTGCCTCCCTAGGTATAGTAAAATATAACAAGTCTGCAGCTGCTGGCTCTGCCTCTGAATTGACTGTCTGCTGACATCATCAGAAGTGGTGGTCTGAGCAAATTACAATACTTCCCCATAAGATTGGCTGAGACTGTCAACTAGGCAGATCGGGGCAGAGCCAGCACAACTCCAACATAGCCCTGGCCAGTCAGCATCTCCTCATAAAGATAAATGGAATCAATGTATCTCTATGAGGAAAGTTCAGTGTCTGCATGCAGAGGGTGGAGACACTGAATGGCAGTGCTGCATACTAGGTAGTACTGCCCCAGGAAGCACCTCTGGCAGCCATCTAAGGAGTGGCCAGTGGAGTTATTGTCTCTGAAAAGACAGCGTTTACTGCAAAAGGCCTGAATGGAATGATTCTACTTACCAGAACAAATGCAATAAGCTGTAGGTGTTCTGGTGACTATAGTGCCCCTTTAAGTTTGGAAGCTTAAGAGGGATGTATGGGAACAAAACTTGTGTGGACTAGCTGACAATAAAATTAGTTTAGGTAATGCAGACGCTGGTCTCTCTAACACTGTGGCATGTCCCCTTTCTTCTACACTCACTACATACACCTTTTCTCTGTCTCAGACTATATACCAGGAACTTCGAGGAGACAAGAGGACCAGCGAGTGCTAGGGGACAGTCCTTAGAAAGCACGGAGTGAGCGCATCATTAGATGCATTTATGTCAAGCTCCGGGTGCTGTCTGCATAGTATGCCCTTAGTTGGACAGCCTGCAGGATTGGCGGCAGCCTGACATGCATTCATGCCAGGCTGTCCTTCAAATTCTTTAGACAGACATGCCCCCTTTTTGGGCATGTTCTCCCCTTTTGGCAGGTCTGGTCACGTGATTCACACCAGTGGCCCACCCTTTTACCCCACCCATTGACTTCCTGCTTCACTGGACACTACTGTTAGGGGTTATAGATTTACTTCAAAGCATAAATTAGAGAGAGATTAGCATAGAGTATGTGTTTTCCTATAGCTGCATCCTATGAGTTTCCCTCCAGCACCATCTCCATCAGATACATGATGCTTGGGAGGTATGACTGTTTTAGTGTTTTTGGTCGATAAGATTCCGTAATTAGGCCCATCATATTTGTCAGCACCAGGCCCAATGTGCTCTTAATCTGGCCCTGATCCCAACTACATACTTGCACGGCCCCAGGTACAGGAAGCAATATGTATTTGAAAAATTTGCAAAGTCTTAGTGTTTTCAATATATTATAACAAGGGAAAAGTACCTAACCGCATGTCTGCATTATGCTCATGACACAGACTGTCAGTATTGCAAGCCCTATATGAAGGCTATGCTTTCATTGTCGATGTATATACCCCTAGACAACCTTGCTTTATATACACAATTTAACTATCCATTAAACGTTTAAAAGCTTATTAATATTATATCTGTGTGGTACAGGGGAGGGCTGGCAGCCTTAGGCCTGGGGGGCAAAACCAGTCAAGTGGCCCATTGCACCTCCAAATCAGTTCACCATCCATGCCCACCTTTTCCTGGTTTTATAAAGGATATTGATGTTATGCTAATCAGTAGCTCTTTGCCATACCCGCTCCTTCACGGCTCCAGGCACTGCTTGTTGTGAGTGTGAGTGTAAATTAGGGGCAGAGGGCACTTGCACTGCGGTAAAGATGGGGCTGGGCAGGAGAGTGCAGTGCAATCAGTGCACTCCCCTCCTGTGGGTCACCAGTAGACTGGTGCACCTGCCCAGGATCAAAGCCGGTGCAAGGATTTTTGCCGCCCTAGACAAAATAAAAATTTGCTGCCTCCCCATGTGACATCACAATGCCCTACCCATATGATCTACCATATGAACTAACGCCAGTGCTGCACACAGTGTGTTTTTACATTAAAAAGCCTGCAGGGACCAGCTATAGACACCAGAACCACTTCATTAAGCTATAGTGTCCCTTTAATGTGAGGTCAATTATAGATTAGTGTCACTAATAATATACTAGATTGCCTACTTACAAACAGATGAGGATGATGATGGGCTGCAGTTTGGCTCCACTGGTCTGGTGTAGAACAGGATCTCTGGAGGCTGTTTGCAACTGTGGTCACAAAATTCAATGTTCTGGGAGAATTGGAAGCAGCTCCATTTTTTGGGGCCCCTTACACAGCTCAAGGTCTGGGCCCCAGGGCCTGACGGTGAGTATGCCCATAAGACCCACTCATAAGTTCCACCCACCCATGAGTTCGCTCACAGGGAGTGGAGTGTGTAGGGATGTGTTATGTGTTATTGTAGAGGATCTAATATGTGTGCTTATGGTATGTAGTGTTTAGGGTTACCAGTTTGTGCAGGTGATGCAGTGTGTTTGTGTGTAGTGGAAGCAGTGTGTATTTGTGTATAAGGGATGTATTATGTGTTTC